GCTCTGCAAGTTGGCTTGTGCCATCCGAGTTGCAGTGCAGGAGGTTGCAAGTTATGCAGTTTCGTCCACTGCTTCAGCTTGGTCTTGGCCTGGTAGCGGGCATTGTTTTTCAGAACATACCAAGGACGTTCAAGGACTCGTGACATGAAGACTAGTGACTAGAGCCTCCTCTGTGTGGATGGCATTATGGCATGAATAAAACCAAACCACCTCCCCCCCCCAGCGCAGCAGTCTCAGTCCAAGGATCCACCCATGTTCGACCTTCCTGTGCTCACCATGCTGCTGTTCAGGCTCTTGGACCTGCACGCTATGCTTGCTTGAAATCATGCTATGCTAAGCATCTTGGGAATACTAAGTAACACGTGTTTAAGTTTCTTGCTTGTTTTGGCCCGCTCCTACTTAATTACACCGGTCAGAAAGTTGTTGGCGCAACTCAAAAAATAAATAGCGGGAACAGCCGCGCCATGTAACTCCGTTTTCTCGCTATTTGGCCGTCATAGATGGCGCAACTGGTCTTTGGATTGCAGACAAATAAAATTTTGCGGGGTGTCTGTGCGGATACTAGTTTTCCCTATTTCCCAAAAAACGTTTGGGGCCTATAGATGGCCCAATGGCCAAGTTCTGTACATTTGGCCTGCCGGCTGCAATCTGGCTATAATGTGAAGAAGAGACCTTTGAGCAAAAAATGTGTGGCCCGGTACCAATAGTGATTTCCTCATATTTCTTCTTGATTTCCTCTTGCCTCTTGAACTTATTCGTTTCCTTTTGATGTCCTTTTGTGGTGGGGCAATAGATCGAGCGGTCCCAATCTCCGCTATTTTCTGCAAAATAGCGCACAAAATCATGCAGAATCTTCCTGTTCTTTTAGCCACGGGGCGCATAGATGGCGCAACACACCTGAATGCCCCTGATACCTAAACCTGGCGCAATAAATAAAAGTCACCTCATCAATTTTCCCAGCGGAGTAAGTGGGCGCCTGAATTCAGTAAGTAGGCTCCTAGCTACTTACGCTACTACTTTGCGGACGCCGGATTACATATTTTGGCAAACTGAACATTTCAACAACGGTTGAGGTGTAGACTTGTGTTGACGCAGTCCTCGAACATACTCAAGGATCACTGCTCTAGGAGCACAGTGTCCACTTCAAGAGATGCGGATAGGGTATTCCAAGCTATGAACCTGGCTAAGACACATGTGTAGACATTGAAGGTATGCTATATTATGATGTTACTTGTAGCTTAGATCAATCAATCGATCAATCAATCAATCTATCGATCTAATTCTATCTATCTATCTATCCATCTATCTATCTATCTATCTATCTATCTATCTATCTACAGTCTCTTTCTATCTATCTATTTATCTATCTATCGATTTCTCTATTTGTGTCTTTATTGATGATGCATGTGATTGTTTCTTTTTGGTATATATATATATCATGTATCTATCTACCAATCTACCTATCTACCTACCGATCTATCAATCTATCGACTATCCATCTATCTCCATGTGCCTTCAAACAGGCAGAGGTTGCCAAAAAAACATTGACCTGCTCTCCAAAGTGACTCTGTCACATTGGGTTCATACATGCAGCCTTTCCCCCTACATAAGATCAAGCATCCGAAACTGCTCCTAGGAACATCTGGGATCATCTGGGACACCCGGACATCCCGTGTCTCAGGGCTTTCTTGGGCGGCTGATACCCCAACAAACAGCTTACCTGAGCGTTCGACGAAGCCGAAGAACTAGGCACGAAACACTTCTCCGGAACACATGCAAGCCCAAGCCATCAGTCTCAACTCGAAGTGTGCATCTTTGATGGCTCAGTTAGCCAAGTCCGAGTATCAGACATCAAAACACAAACAAGTTGCATAAATGTCCTGTGAGTTTGGCACTCTGCGCATCGCTCAGTTGAGTCCCCTCCTTCGATTAAAACGCCCCAGCGGCCGCACTCACCGGAAACTCGCGAGGCCGATCTGGGTCCTCACAGGTACGCATAGTCGGCTAGTCAACCGGTACGATGCTAACATACTCCGTGTCGATAGCGATCACCTTCTACCATCATAGATGATGACTCCATCACTTTTCTGGGTCCAGTTCTGACAAAAGGTTCCAATCTGCGCCTGTGCAACTAAACATGCACGTGCCACTGTGAATGTCAACGACAAGGTTTGTGCCCGCAATCAACTCAGAGATCAACATCGGCGTGCCATGCATAGCCAAAACCCAGGTGATGTCCCGCAGTGGTAAGTTGTAGAGCTCATCGTACATGGGGTACGGCTTGACCAAGGGCTGAGACTTTCTGGCAAAACCTTAGTCACAACGCATGGGGAAAACATAATCTGAATGAAATCAACCTGGGACTGATGTTCAGCAGGAATGAAACGACCACATTCTGTATTAACGTTTGGCATGAGTTGCCCAAGGTCCGAAAAGCGGTGCCGCTGATCAGACTTAAAAATAAGGATAAGTCGAATCATGTCGAATCATGAGCTTGTAGGATCTTGCAGCTGCAAACAGCTCTCACAGCCTTTGCCCGTTGCCCACTCTCAAACTTAGAAACTCAGTGCAGCTTGCTCTTGCTTGGCACCACCTCCAAGCAAAACACGTCATAGGCAGGTTGGACGGTGTGAGGGTGGTGACTGATAGTTGGGACAAATCACGGCTTGCTGACAACATGCGCTCAATGCCTAAAGGCCATAAAGGTGAATGGCATCGATTGACACAACATGCTTGGTGATACATTCAGGTTTGAGATCTATACTGTCCATTGGTTTGCGTGTTGAAGATGTTCCGAGGGTCTACTGAGAGCATTGCTGAGCCTCTGGCCTGTGTGCTTTTCTTTCTCAACAATGAACTTGTTGAGCGCGTCTAAACGGAGAGTATTTGTCTTTGCGGTAGTGAGCGCGGAGTTCTGTCGCAGCACCACAAAATGAAATCACAAGTCACAAGCATGGCAGGCATCTATACTAATATAATATAACTAGGCTTACCTCCAATTTCACGCAGATGTGGTTAAAATGAGTCAACCTAATTATTATGAGTTACATCCTTTCATCTGCCTTCATGGGCGCACAGTTTGCTTGAATGACTCATGCCACCAACACAGGAGGCGGATCAGCAGCTCCTGCTTCGTAAGCACTTCAGCAGCGCCCCCCGCGCTTGACGACAAGGTTCGCCTGGAGCAAACACGGCTTTGCGCTTCTCCATGTGTGCGAAAACTCCGCTTTCCGTCCACCAATAGCAAGAACCACGCGAAACAAGGATTATAAGGCATCGCTACTAGGTTGGAGGCCATCGCTAGTAGGTTGGAGGCCATGGCTCGTAGGTTGGAGGCCATGGCTCGTAGGTTGGAGGCCATCGCTAGGTTGGAGGCCATCGCTATTAGGTTGATTTGTGGTTTTCCAGGGATGCTATGCGGTGCTGCCAAGTCGCTGCATGCCAATGTTAGGTGTGCTTGAGGAGCGAATGGCCTGCCTAGTGCACAATTCCAAAAACCTGGAACCACGTGCCTGCAACTCCCAAGCATTTAGAAAATGATGCACCCACAACAAAGGATCCAAAATTAGATAAACAACAATGTGTATATACCCCATGTGCCTGGCATTGCAAATGAAATAACTATAAATGTATTATTTGCATGTATATATATATATACCGAGAAATCTGCCAATCCCACCTCAGCTCATTGGCCTCGAATGCTCTGAACTCCGTGAAACGATTCCTCCACCAGGAAGGACAAGCCACGCAATAAAGCAAGGCAAACGAAGTACAAAATTGAGGGGGTTATGTTTAAAAGCCCTTTCCTACTTAAGTAAGTAGGTGCCTACTTAATTAAGACAGACACTCTAGTAAGCTACTAGACTAAGTTCGCTCCTAGGTAGGACGCAGGATAGCTCACGCGGGGAGAGCTTCCTTGAAGAAGCGCTCGCACAAATGATCTGGTTTCTGAATTTGTAGGGAAACTAGAAACTTTTTTACAGGGGTGGGGAGGGTTAGGCCGTAGTACCTAAGAAGTAGCTAGTAGTAAGAGGTAGCTACTAAGCCTCGCAGGAAAAAGCTGACGCTTCTCCAGGGGGGAGCTTCCTTGGGCCAAGCACTCGCACTGCTCGTCTGGTTCCTAGATTTGGGGGGTCAAGGCAATTATCTTGCGTCAAGCTGAGATGATAGGTTCAAAGCTTACAGTAGATTGTTTGAGGATCGCAAAGCTATGAAGACTTGGTTCCATAAATTCTCACGGTCCTGGTGGTAGCTAGGAATTCGACACGATCCATGGCACACGCTGCATTGATCTTCTTGGTCTCCAGGTCTTCCCTTACCACGGTTGCGCGTCACGAATTCCAAGAAAATGGATTACACTTTAAAGGGCATTGTTTAAGGCGGTTCAACCACCAAAAGATCGGAAAAGGGGTAAACACGCTGACTCATTGGCCACCCTCATATAGAAAGATCTAGAATCTAGAACTATGGATGGAAGTGGAAGAAAATGGCTCTTGGGACAAACACCTCTTAAAGCAACGAAGTTCTGATTCCTCTTGCGAGGACCAAGTGGCCAAGTGGGCAGCCGTCTCTCCTTCTTGCGACTTGCTTGGCTTGCTGGGCTGCCTTGGTCAGAAGGAATCACATGCTGTGCAAATCTGAGTGACTGCGAATCCAATTTGGAACATCGTCAAGTTGCTGTAAGTCGCGAAAGTCCCCATCGGATTCCCAGGAACAACTCGAACTGAGTGACAGACCCCTGCTGGAGGGCGTGTCGTCCATGGCTCAGCTATGAGGTCCCACAACCCAGGGCTGATAGGATCTCTGAGCCAAAAACATGCTTTTGTTTGCAGGCTAGGAGAGGGAACAAACTACCCAAAAAGCGGATTGCATACATCATCATGTCTGGCAGGCTCTACCCGAAGTTGGTGTCACAGGTGGACGACCAGCAATGTCAATGTCATGTCGTGCAATTTCAGTGTACAACAGTCCTCTTGGGTGTCTGAGTGCTGCCTGGGCGCCTATTTTCAAGACCTCTTCCACATGAGGTCCTCCGAATGCAATGGTGTTTGCAACCAGCCTTGGTTCGGAGGTCGCGGTCTACGCTGCACTCTTCAGGTTGGACTCAGTAGCAATGCACTTGTTATTAGTAGCTTCTGGTTCCTAGTGGTAATGCCAGGAGCAACTGCTACTAGTAGCGATGCCCTTTGTTACTAGTAGCTTCTTGCTACTAGTAAAGCCAGGAGCTACTAGTAGCGTCCTTGCTCTTAGAAATGCCCTTGCTGGTGAGCTCAGCACACGGTTCCCTCCAGCTGCACTGCTGGATCCTCACTTTCCATCATCTCCTCGAGACCACTTGGGTCGCGAAGTCCCATTCTTGCTCATAACTGTCTAGAAGCTTACTAGTAGCAAGAAGCTACTAGTTACAAGGGCATTTCTACTAGGAGCAAGGACGCTACTAGTAGCTCCTGGCATTACTACTAGTAGCAAGAAGCTACTAGTAAAACCTTGAGAATCTCTAAAATACTGTCCTTGAGAGCAGGTAGCGGCTCGCACACCAGCAGCGCCTGCATGCCTCCAGTGTCGCAAAACTGGCCACTCCATCAACCCAATAACCAGCATAACCGTTTCAAATTCAAAATGGATGTGGCTCCTACCTGAGCCTATCAATTGGGACCGAGGATCAACAACCTTGCAAACAAGGTGACCCTCATGTTGGACCGCACGCTTCTGCTGACCTGTTGACCATGGGGAAACAACAGGCCCACAGACCTCTCGTGCTGGCGCAGGCTACACGTTGAAGCGCATGGCAAGCTCTTGCCTGCACCTGCGGCAGCCAAAACATCACTCAAGCCAGAATTAGCCATGATGGAAGCGAAAGAAGCAGGTCACAAATAAGACCAGAATAGGGGCCTGATTATAGTTTCAATAGTACAAAATGGTGACAAGTTGCAGGTTTGTCAAATGCGTCCTGGTTTGCTGGTATCAGAAGTGCATGCATGCAGTCCAGATGCGGACTGGTCGTGGAGCAGTCAAGAATCTAGCATGCTCAGGTCTCGTATCAGTGCCTCTCTCGACGCGGTTTCGAGTAGAAAGACCAGCCGTTCAATGGCCCCACGTATCAGAAGCCTGAGCGTCACTCACCCAATGTGAGACTGGCTGAAATGGTGTCACCGTACTGTACAAATGGACATGATCAGCTGCATGGCTAGTATGGCCAGGAGCCCCTAGTAGCATCCTTGCTCCTAGTAGCGATGCCAAGAGCCCCCAGTAGCGTCCTTGCTCCTAGTGTAATGCCGCTCAAAGATCGGTGCACGATGTATCCTACCTCACTGGCGGGATGTTGTCCAGGCTGATGCTCTGCAAGCCGAGTCTCACTGCAAGGTGTTGAGGGTCAGAGTATCTGAGCTATCGCACAATCCCAGCTTTGGACCGATGGAGCGGGTTTCGCAATCTGTTTGCTGACACTGGTTTTTGATGTGTGACAATGTTTTTGCATCGTCATGTTCTGCTTGTCTGTTTGAGCATCAATTGTCAAATACCGCTTCACTTGTGGATGTCTTCACCTGCGGGTGCACCTCAATTACTTATCTTAGTCAATTTCAATGGACACCTGGTTGGCGCCCCATCTCACTGCAAAGAGTGGCACCAGCTTGAATCAACTTGCTACACACGGTGCCAAGGGGCCTCAACATTGCCAAAGCTTCACAAACCTTGGCATTGCCATGTGTGGAGAAAACGGAGTGTGGTCTGAGGGCAAAGCGGAGTGGTCCGGAGGTCCCAAATATGGTCCCATGTGGTCCATTCTTTTAAACTAAGCAAGACCTTCTCATTTTGTCATCGACCGGGCTCCCGGTAGATGACCTAACCGCCACACGTCGCTGAGGCTCCAAAGCTCAGAAAAAGGCTCAGGACAGCACGTGGATGAGCACGTTTTCGTCGTTGGAGGCGAGCAAGAGGGACAACGCAATCAGCAAGCGCTTGGACCTCTGTGGAGCCATCGTGGTTCCCCTGCATACATATTAAGCTATAATAAGCTATATATAACCATCTGAAGTGAAAGCTGAGTTGAGCTCATTATGTTCATCACATCGTTGCCATGGGCCGTAAGCTCCAGGCAACCCGTCGGCGAATTTCGTGCATGGCCAAGTGCAAACCGCCCGCAGCAATCCAGCAGCCTGCACTTCCCACAGGAAACCCCCATGTTCAGCTGGACGTGATGTTATTGCACCCTGCAAACACGGCGAACGGGTGTGCAAAATCTACGGGTGCAAACTGAATAAATAACCGCCCTGCTCCGATCCAAATAAGCAATGTTTTTCCCCAAGGGCGGCTGAGCGAGGGATTCTTTAAAAAAAACAAGTGCAATACATAACATGACAGCTTACACCCTCAAATTTCTGGTGCACTACACATCATCACAACTTACCTCCATACATATCCAGAATGGCATACCCCACACCAGCACATCTGCACATCCATACAACTCACATCTTGGCATCCCTACATATCCAAACATGTGATTTGTTGGTTTCTTTTTGTCTGGTTCTTTCTTTCGTTCTTTCTTCCTTTCTTTGGCCAGGGTGGTGCCGACAAGTCACAATGAAACGGGGCCCTGTCGCACGGTCAAGTTTCAAAACTTGAACATCTGGCGATTTTGAGGTGCCCACGGCAAAACTGCCTGTGACTTGTATGAAGTATGATGCAGTGTTTCAATGTGTTTCAACATTCTTGTGGATTATTTGATTACCCTGGACCTCCGCAATCTGTTGCACGCCAGCTGTGTCCTTGTCGCTGCAGTGTGTTCCTCTGTGTGTCTTCACTGCGGGGCAAAAACCATCGGGCTACAAAAGCTTCCGCTTCCACAACATGTCACCTCAAATCTTCACATCCACACATGCGCACTGGACGAAAGCACACAAACATGCATTAATCATCTCGGCTGGAATGCATCTTGCAGGCAGGGCCTAACTACATACATTCTCATGCGAAAATGCGCACAAAACAGTATATACATCAATGTTAAATCCCCTCTACGGTTTTACCTGGATCCACACGCTGTACTATAATTCTGCACATAAGACAGCATAAACATCAGCTTCAAGACCTCTTTGGGACTTGACCTGCATCCACATATTATACAATTATGCTGCAAAAACAAGCGCAAGCCTGCATATGCATCCCCTTGACGACATCTTAGGGGGGATCCTGAATCCACACATTTTACTCAAGCAATGCACACAAACATGGACTAGAAAATATATTTGGGGCAGGACTTGGGACCACACGTTTCACTGCAAAAACACATACAAACCTGCATCAACATCGACTGAAAGGCTTTGCTTCACTCCTCCCTTTTCATCTCAGCCTTTTCTCACCCTCTCTCACATCTTTCACTGTCTCTTTCACCATCCCACAACGCCTTTACTTTACTGTTTCATCGTAATGCAAGCACGCCGTAATTAGTACACCAGAGTAACTCTACACCTAAACGCTCTCGGGCCATCCGTCGTCTAGTGTCCAAGTTCCACAACATTTCTCCCGAGCCCTTCGCCTTCTGCAGTACTGCCAGGGGCTCGCTGCCCCGAAACCTGAGACTGCTCCGCTGATCATTTCACCAGTCACGCTCGAGCGCATTTGAGACACGCGCCGCTCTGTGATGTAGTCCACAATGCCTGCATGGATCACTTCGTCTCTCAGAGGCTCAGATGCCCTGGCCACATTGGTGATAATCTGCAACACCTGTTGCTGTGATCAGCTGTCTGGACAAACCGGACCAATGCGCAGCACAGGAGGCTGTATGTACACGTAGGTCCGAATCATGTTCGTGGGCAGGCACTTTGGCAAGTATTCTGATCCAAATTTCATACTGCATCTTTACAGTTTCGACTCGACCTTTCTCAAAATGCCTTTCTGAGACATAGCTGCCAAAAGACGTTTCTCAGTATTCATTTGTCACAGGAGTCTTTTTTGAAAACCGGCCAGCCATGTTCACATCAATCATTGTGACAAGAGAAACAATTATGGGAAGTAGGCATCGGCACTGAAGACCATGGAACCGTCGGTCTGAATCAAGGTTCAAACCAAAACCGTGCAGGCTTGCGACACAAATGGGTTCAATTCAATACACATATATAAATTTGAGCAGAATGTTTTGTCCGGATGCTTCGCATTCCAGCCTGCTCCTGCCTCAGTACGCACAGGAGTTGAAGATGGGAAAGCGTCTTTCAACCAAAATGAGCACCGCCAGCAGATAGCAAGGAGCTCACTCCTCCAATCACCTAGTTATATAGTTAGTTAGTTAGTTAGTTAGTTAGTTAGTTAGTTAGTTAGTTAGATAGTTATATAGTTAGATAGTTAGATAGTTAGTTAGTTAGTTAGTTACGGTTCTGAACTGCTTATCCAGGTCACGTGCGCGGCGGACCGGTTAAGAGTGGCATTAGGCGCTGCAGGGCGCCCTGGGATGCTTGCTGATCCCGATTCTCGTGATGTTAGATCAAGAACGAACATGATCATGATTCATGATAGGAGCAAGAAGCTACTAGTAACAAGGGCATCGCTACTAGGAGCAAGGGCGCTATCATTAGCATGCGCAGCTCACCTGTTCCACAAGGCACCGTGTTTGCTCAGGAGTGCCCTCTGAAAAGCGGCATAAAGCCCAAAGCACCTGGGCGCTGGACACACACCATGACCCCAAAACTGTCACTCTCAATGCTGGGGCTGGCTGGGGCTATAAAATAGAATTGCATAAAATGGCTGGTACGAAGCGGATTGAAGTCAACGAGGGGAGTCAACGCCGCATGCTACCCCTCACCTGCGTTTGGAGCTCCAGGTTTGTGCTTTCCTGGCCAAGGCCAATGACCCCGCGGAGTTGCAGTATCATTCTATATGTGTTTATTTAAATTATTAATTTATACGTGTGTGTGTGTGTGTGCCTGTATGATCACCCCTCCACATAGTGCTCTTTATCAGCTCCTTTCTCCATCTGTGTTGTCGGCTATTACTTACCATTCACCTTTCCTATCTTGTCTATACTGTATATATCTGTTAGGCATGCCTTGCAGCCCTCCTGTACCCTATCGCATTGAACTGAAGTTTGCAATTCTGACAAGAAGTCGACTTTATCGATATGAACAGACCGACATGGACAAAAATAAACAGTCTATTCGGACTTCCTCCACTCTAGCCTACAGAAACCCTCTCTCACCAATGATGAGAGGGTCTCAAGTCCAGTGTGCAGTAAGAGAAGCAGCTTTAAGAAATTAAAGGAATACACTATTAAGCTTGACCAGCAGGATGTGGGCTTGGTGCACATGTCTCAACAAACAGCACACTATACCCCTACAGCACCGGGAAAATGAACGGATAGCAAAAAACTAGTATAAAATCAAGCACTTCCCTCCGTGCACTCTAGCCCATTATAATCTGCCATTGTAACCCAGTCTTAGCAGCAAGGCTGGCAAATCCGAAACAAATACTAATACAGTATATATATATAGTTCATCCAGAAATATCCAGAAAACGCCCAGACCTATAGACCAATGATGAAATGTATGCTTGCGCTACCATTCTGGATTCTAGCTGCAGACTTTAGCCCCTGCACAACACTCCACAGCACACTAATTACCGTATTCTACTTGTCCTGCCCGGAGCTGGGCAAGACAGAGAAGAGAAGAATCGGCGCAGGGCAAAACAACAAAAAAGGAACTAAAAAGAAACGTAAGGCTCCTGTCTTTGTTCATCCCTTTTTATTTCTTTGTGCCCCACCGGTTTGGAATTTGTTGGATTCCGCCGAGACCAGTCTTTATAAGTTTTTCTCCCAGAGAAATTCAGTACTTACCCTGGCTTGATTGAATTGCTTGGCTTCGTGTGTTGTTGGCTTCAGATTCTATTGAATGCTAGATTGCAGTGATATTTCCTGGTTGGCACTTGGCACCCTGCATTCTGCAAACATGTTTTTAGTTTTCTTGGACAATAATGTTATACCTTGGCATGTTGCATTGGCAGGCCAAAAAGCAGTCTCAAATTATTTTAGGGAGATCATGGGGGTTCGTCCGTACTTCAGATCGATATTGAGTGTTGAGTAACACACGTGTTAACCTGCGACCTGTATGGCGCGCTTGTTGGTCTTTAGATACTCCTCCATGGTCGCCTAGACTGGCCGCGTTCGGCTTTTCACTTGGTGAGCCACTGTCAACACAAGAGCGGTGAATCCGGTGCTCTCTTCTCCTGACTCAATTGCAGAACCCAGGGCAGTAGATCAGCTGCAAGCCTCGATTGCATGCTGTCAGCACAACATCTGGTCGAAACAAATGGTTTCAATTCTCAAAGCAACTCATCAATCCACCTGGGTAGTCCTGTCATGTGCCTACAATGAATGCACCTGGTTTTGGGGAGCATCTTCGCCACAACTCTTGCTATTCGTTCGGCACTCGTCATCTCAGCGAAGTGAAACCATAAGTACACCTCTCAAATGAGACGTGTCCATATCATCTCATGCTGAATGACCAGTGCCGCAGAGGTCGCCATGTCCGCAACAATCATCCGTTCGTCCTAGACAACACACTCAGTTCCAGTTGACGTGTGCCAAAGGGCCCAACAAACTGTGGAACTTGGCGAGTGCAGGTGAAACGGCCTTATTTCCCATCCATGGGACGTGGCGAATTCTCTCACGCCGCAGGCAAAAGGAGATCAAGTCACGATCTGGCCCCCGGCATCCCAGGACTTCGCATCGGCATTCTCCAAGCACCTCTCGTATGACACCAAGTCCTGTCAAGCCGAATCCCTTGTAGCAAGTTATCGCTACTAGTAACAAGGGCATTACTTTACTGGTAGCTAGAAGCTACTAGTAACAAGGGCATTACTACTAGTAACAAGGGCATGATCATGACCATGATCATGATTCTGTGCACAACGTCTCAGGGTAGGAAATGGTTCTGAAAAGCTAGTCGCCAGCCAGCCAACCAGCTGTCCTTGAAGGGATGAAAGGTCACACGGCCATTGCGGCACTCTGGCCAATCGGGAGAGTCACAATGTGCCTCGCTGATGAGGTTCCAATCATTCACTCTCTTTACTTTGAGAACCTTCTGAAGGCACTGGTCAATGAACATGTCCTCGCCCCAAAGGCAAGGCCCTGAGCAAAGCTTCTCAAAATGGTCGACGCATCTTTGGCGTCCTCCTTTCCAAACGTCCACGGCTTTCTGAGAAAAGACTTCGATGGGCCCATGCATTCCGAATTTACAATTGTTGAAATAAAGCCCACCATCTTGGTCATGGTGAAAGGCTATGGCCACTCGCAAGCGGTCCACAAGGAAGACAGTATCTGGGTCGACCTTCACCACAAACTCATGAAACAAATAGCGCTTCTCCTCAAAGACCTTGTCCCAAACCTTGAAGAATATCTCAGTGTTGAGTGCCGTGCCGAACTCGCCTCCCATGTCGCACTTCAGGTCGCTGTTGACAATCGAGGATTGCAAAAAGCCAGGCACCACATCCACCTTCCTGCTGCTATAGACTGCCCATTCGTCGCAGGCGAATATGTTTACCTTCTTTCGATACTGCCAAGCTATCAAGCCTTGCTCATAGGTATCTGGCCGCATCACTGCGAAGCACAGCACACTCCGGGACTTGGTCCACAGGAAGGGTAGTCCTGAGGTGCTTGGTCCACTTCGACATCTTTCAGTTTCAAATTTGGTTCAGCAGTTCAGCTTGATAAACCAGCCGCTGTGGAGGTGAATCTCTAATTCATATCAATCCAAAGAAATTGTTTGGTACAACATGCTGCGTGGTACTGCCTCATATATATATATATATGTATATACATATTTTAAACACCGTTTACATTTGGATGCTGATGCTGACTGTATGGCATGCCCCTGTGCGCCCACCCCACACGCCTGAGATAAAAGTTGGTTTGGCAACTTTCTGCAGGGTGCCATTGGGCTCGACCCATTTGAGGCTGCACTCATGAGTCTCTGTGTCAAGGACCCACACTCTGCATCGGGCATCATTTTGACACCGTGCGCAGCATTCAGATGGAATCAACACATTCCTCCACACAAACCGAGTAGCACCTGTAAATTCCACGCCCTTTTCAATGTGAGGGATCATGCCCCCCTCTTCTGGATTGGCTGGGGCTGTGGTGGTTGGATTGATGGCAGCAACGTAATCAAAGGGCGTGAAAAAGTCGTCCTCGTTGAGCTCTCGGAGCACAGGCAGCCCCACCTTCCGTTCAGCTCCCCCCTGGAAGGTGCACGCGAGCACTGCAATTGCCCCGCAGGCTGCCACTGTGGTCGTCACCCACCAAGCTGCTGGCCTCACACATCTCAGGATCTGCCCCTCTCGGCCCTGCGGGCCGTTCTGTGAGGCATCCTGCCGGACCAAACAGTCCTCGTCGGTTGCCATCTTCCCTTGAGCCTGGATGGCCACCCCAAAAATTCAATGCCTTGACCGCATTCAACAGCGGTCCACCTACTGAAGCATGCGCCATCACATCACCCTTCCAGTGAGGAACAAAGACTAAAACTAACAAACAGCGGAGGAAACAAAGTCTTGACACATCACATCCCTGGAAAATCGCTGAGCGAGCTGTCCTGCACCAAGCCTCTGAAATATATGCCGTCTGTAACCGTTTGGGTGTGTGTGTGTGTCACCCTTGGAGTCATAGGGATGCTTTTGCATTTGTTTTGTTTTACAGCAGGGGGTGCCAGGGACCATGCAAGTCTGGCACTAACAAAGACGCTTGCAAAGACGCTTGCATTGGTCTGTGAAATCGATTTGGGACGCCAAATCGACGTACCTGCCAAAGAAAAACCTACGTAGAGCACAAGCTGTCTACTTCGTTGTTTCCTTCAGTAAAGGGCTACTGCAGCGGCGATGAATTTGGCTTTCTGCACGTACGTCGTCACCTGGTCGTCCGCTCGATCGGTGTTTTCTTTTGGAGTTGCTGGCCACCTGAAACCCTTGGGACCTCCGCTGGATGGACCTCCTCCTCCTTTTCTAGGTTTCCTTACCTGTACCCTTAGGAATTGGAACCCTAGGCCGGCGTGTGGCACCGCTATCAAGTCCGTACGCATATCCATGAGTGTGTGTGTGTTTGTTTTGTGTGTTTTTGTGTGCGTACACCTTGGATTCATAGGTTGCTTTTGCTTTTGCAGGGAGCAGTGGGCATGAATATCTGAAGTCACGGCTCAACGAACACACTTCAAATCAGGACGCAGATTGCACGCACCTACGGGATGGTGATCACCATTTGCTTCCTTTTGGGCCCCTTTGTCGCTACGAGTAGAACAAACCGTTGTCTTTGCATCGGCTATGCGTTCTGCAAGCTTGCACTCGTCGCTCGCTCGACTCGTCGGCTTGGAAGTTGGAGCTTGTTTGGATCATGTTGTTGAAATTTTGGTTGCACAACATGACCGGTCACCTAGCCGTGCTAACAAAGCTATGGTTTTCGGTTGGGTGAGATGCTGGACGCAGTATCTCGTACCTGCTTGGCATCGCTCTTGGGCCCGAGACACAGGCGCAGCTGGAGGACACACCGTTTCTTTCAACGCTTCTGTGCTTCTAAGTCGTGATCAAGCTGTTCCCATCCGGTGTTCCGCACCAAGGAGCCAATGCACGGCAGTCAAGCACGTGTTGAATTCCGTTCTACCAATTTTTTCACATAGGCTTCCGTGTGGCATGTGCTATCTTTCTCTCTCCTGGCCAAGCGGTCTCGCTGTCTCACAAAGACGCCTGTGTGGCGCTCGAACTATCCATGTCATATATCAATTAGATGCTATTTCATGCTATTTCAATATACTTGCACACAGTCCCGATCCCGCCGCTGAGGTGGTGACAGTGTGTCCAGCGAGGTTTTCTCAAACCTCAGAGCGAAGTTTTGCATAAAAACCTGGCTGAAAGCCCAGTGGCAAGTAGCCAGTTAAGCTGAGATGGAACATGTGCAACTTGGCAAGACACTACATACACCATTGTGCAACCTCAGGGGGCGTTGACAATTCTGCAGACTCCTGCTATTGTGACAGAACGCTCAACAATTCTGCCTCTGAAGGTTAAAAGCTCCATGTCGTGCCCACGCCCTAGCAGCTATTGCCCAACCTGCTGCAACCCTGTGTCCGCCATGGTGCTGTAGAAACAACTCGTCAACAGCTTCCAGTTGCTCGGCCGGGTCCTGCTACTCAACAGGACTAGTGGAGTAGTGCGGCAGTAGGCTCCTCTTTCACATTTGACATCGTTGACACTGCTGCCAAGGAAGGCTAGCAAGGGCTGGTGTCACAAACTTGTCATGCTGCCGGAAACGCCACTGATACTAAACACCGTGTGCAAAAGCTTGACTTCTGAACAACTCCGAATGGTCAGCACGCACCCGTAGAAGCTTGCGGATCTACTCGCACAAACTGATTACTCAAAACTCTGAAAGAGCAAATGATGTATATTATAAGGGCCTTTAAGGCGGGCACGTTCCCCCTCTGACCATTCAGTCCGCCCTCTATGCTGGACTCTTTCGCAGCAAAGCGACAATCACCCGGTCAGCCCCCCCTGCAAAGCTCCGCCATGTTCACGACCCGCGTTCAGGGAGTTACAAGTTACTAGTCCAAAGCCTCTGTGGGGGCCAGACTGCCATCAGTGTCAAGGCTTAGTGAACTGGAGAAGACAGCCGTCGACGGCGGGCCCACAAAAACTGCTTGCCCAGGGTACCCTTCTTGGGTGTCACAACTCCGGAGAGTGCGAAAAAAAAGACATTCTGCAGGAGCAGGCTTAAAAAATCCAAGCAACACACCAGCGGGCCAACCACTCTCAAACTACCTGGCTACAAAAGCAAGTGTATCGCATTGTATCGCCATGTCTCGCCCAAAGGTTGCTCAAGCCAACCCCTCTCACAGCCAGGAAAACACCGCCATTGCGGTGGGCTGTACACCCTTCATCTGCACAGCTCTGAACCTAGGGGCTCCAGCCTCCAGCTCAGTCTTACAGTGACGTCAGGGAAGAAGATTTCTGGAGTTGATACGAGGGCTTGTGCCGAGTGCGGCGTTCAAATCTGCTCCTGGCGCGACTTTTTGCTCCAACCCGGCCAAACAACAAAGGGAGCACACGACTGTGAACCAGGAACATTGAAAACGACTTCGATTTCCAATGATTGGCACGAGTTGGGGTACATTTCGTGTAGTTGGATTACCACCTGCCGTCCAATGTCAAGTGCCCGACACATCCCGACACCAGCGAGTCCAATCTCTTGTCCGGGGCACTTGGTCCAGTGTCTTCTCAATCCGATTCTTCCATTTGTTTGGGCTTCGTGTGAGGCTTTGTCGCGTTGTTTAGGCTTCGTTCCAGCTCGCTCCATTTTGAACCCTCAAAACCCTGAAGACAAAGTCTCAGGAGGAGGCTTCGCTATTGGTTTTCCAAGTCCTGCGCCCTACGACCTCATCATGTGTGCATAGATCTAATGTTGAAATGCCGAGCGATGAATTTTGAGGTCTCTTACAGTAAATGAACTGCCCTTTTCACTGCATCCTTGAACTGATTTCTGACGTGCAGTGGCTGCACCGTTCTGACAAGAATTGCAAATGCTGTTCTACTTACTGTTTGCTAGTCGAAGCGCCACCGTTCTTATCCTGAAGGGTCAGTTCAGTTCTGTCTAGTGTGATGCTGAGTGAGCGCTTGTGGTGTGGTGCCCCAAGTGTGGCAACAACAAAGTGGTGCATGCATGAGGCAAGTCTGCTCTGCCGATTGTAGCGATGGCAAGTTGTCTGGTCACGTGGCAACATCTGAAAATGGTGCCCGGTTTCTTTGGCGAAACGTGGTGCTATTTTGACTGAGCAGTGCTCATGCGCAATACCGAAACCAGCGCTCATGCCAGGCCGGGCTGCCCCCGTGCCGGGTCCGAAATCACATCCATGAGCACCAGTATCATAACCAATTATCCAATCACTAATTTTGAACACCCTCTCCCTCCCACGTGCAAGCTCACCCAAAAAGCAGCACAACGGTCTGCCAAGCGATGTGGTGACTATGGGATGAACATACACAATACTTTTTATGCTACTCAAGCTATCCTTCATGCATAGAGATGGCAAGCTAATGCTGATCCCCCACTCGATTAGATTTCCTTGGACTTTCTCACATGCATAACCTGGGCCTAAAACATGGACATCCATATACATGTAAATTGCTATAGAGCGGAAGGCTGTCAGTTTGGCAAGGGCAACAGCTCAACAGGCATCTAAATCTAAGGGCAAATTGGATTGCTTGTTGGTTTGCATCCCAACATTTTTCCAAGCCTCTCTGGCTGACAGGTGGCGAAAGCCATCAGAACATGGACTTGATCATATCGGGTCCTAAGCAGCGGGATAGCACCATGAGATGCGCTAATTTACGATGACCCTTATGACAAAGTCAAGTCACCCTGCAACACCAAAGCCAATGAGCGAAACTGGTTACCTTGCTCCTAGTAGCGATGCCAGGAGCCCCTAATAGCGTCCTTGTTCCTAGTAGCGATGCCCTTCGTTACTAGTAGCTTCTTGTTCCTAGTGGTAGGGCCAGGAGCCCCTTGTAGCCTCCTTGCCCCAGTAGCGATGCCCTTTGCTCCTAGTAGCTTCTTGCTCCTAGTTGGGAGTAGCTGCGTAGCTCCCCTTTCAGGAATGCATTGCTAAATTTGGGGAACTGCACATTGAGAAGAGAGGGAGGCATGGCTTGGACCATGGAAGCTGAAAAATGAATTCTGTAAGAAGCGATGCCAATTCTGCAGAACCTTATGTTTGGGAAAGCTTCTTACACCAAGAGATTGCGCAGGTGTGGCGCAATGCGGCAGAGTGTCTTGGTCAGCTGCATTGTTCCACTGATGCCCTGCGCAACGCCAACCAAAGGAAGCTCCTGTCATGAGCCGCTGTCACTGTGGGCACAAGACTGAAAAGGTTGCCATCATACTAAAATTTGCACTTAAAGGTGTTTCGAAGGGAATGCCAAACACTTCACGGTACTGTAGCTCTCGAATTTTTTCCTCCAACTTTTAATGTGCCATCGAACAGGGCCAGGCCTTGTATGAAAGGACTCTGTTGAACATGAGCTCAGGCCTCTGCGAAATCTTAGCCTCCGAATGCAACCTTGGGACCAGGGGCGGGCCAAAACCAAACGTGCCATACTCCACAGTCTATTGCTCTATCTGCTTCTTTTCTCATCATGATTGATTTTTTAGCTGGAAGCACACCCATCAAACAAAAAACACGACAGCCATGAAATACCTCACCAGGTGGTCTTGCCAAAAGGTCAACTACCTACTCAACTACCTCTGCCAGCAGAAAAAGCAGGAGGTTGCGATGGGTAGCAATCCGCAAAAATGCAGCTACTAGTAGCAAAGTGTCAGGGCACCCAACAGATGGACCACTTGTGCAAAGGCTCGAGTTAAACCAAATATGGCATTCAAGCACATTCAAGGTCGCCCACCCACCCACCCCAAAAGAAAACTGCTGGGCAACGATTGCAGGAGGAGAGAAGTATGCGGCGATGGAAAAACTTCTCTCAACGTCTTGCCGGCCAAATGAGTCAGTGGTGTAGACGCAGCATGGACCAGAAGACCTGGCCGGTGCGCCACAAGGCCAAGAAGGAAAAAAAAAGGCAGCCAACTAAGAGGAACAAAATACAACATGATTGTTCTTGGAGGGGGCACCATACTTCTTAATTACACATGTTTGTTCTTCTTTTATTCGACTATATTCGACTACTCAGTGCAAGCTCACATCCCGCCATCAATGCTAGACCTACCTTGACATGTCTACAGGGTTGCTACTGTACAGGTTCCTGCTGTGCTGTTGTTCAACCCTTTACAGTAGCCGTACGTTGCGAAGAAATCCGACAAGAACGTGTGCCTTCCATATCGATGTCCATATAGATGTCCTTTCCCTTTTGTTCTGTAGGACTTCTCGGGCTGTGTTGGACGCGAAATGCCTCATGGACATTTCGGGCTGCTGCTTTGGGAAAACAGAAGATCGGCCCCACCGAAGGCAGGCAGGATCTGAAACATCGATTCGTCAGTGCCCCAGCCCGGCTGATGTTTTTTAGTGACCAGGGTTTCAGAAGGACCAACGGGCCAGACGGGCCCGCCCCGACGGGACTCACGGGATCGACGTGCCCATCAAACAGTCTGGAAGAGTCAAACACGAAATTAAGCCACATGTTCAACTGCATGGGCCGCCGCAACCCTCACTCCTGGCAGGTTTTTCTTCCCGCCATCCATCACACAGCGTAACATGGTTCGGCTTGTGAAACATCTCTGCCTCCCAAACAATGACGTTCGCAACGTCTCAGCTCCACATACATGGGTTCCGCCGCTACTGGGTGCATATATATATATATATGTGTGTGTGTATGTGTGTGTGTCCTCATGTGCATTCACAAGCTCGATATATGAAAAAAAGAAAACATATCTATTTATAGATATGTCTTGACATTGATATATATATATATATACGTGTATGTATATATATATATTTATATAATATATATATATATATGTGTGTGTGTGTGCGCGCGTGTCCTCAACTAACCGCGCCAACGAATGAGAAACATCATCTGTCATTTGTATGGCCAAGTGCTCATCACAGTAAGGTTGTCTAAGGATATGTTGTTTCTTGCTATTCACAATTGTTGACACGAAGGCCGACTGTCGACATGAAAAGAAATTATGTGTACATATATAGTTGCCTAAGCGCCACAGCCCTTGCTAGTGATTCAGCGAACACACGGCGTGAAAGAGCACTAGCCCATTTCATGGAGGCGTGAAAGAGAACCACTCACATATGTCCAGAGTTTCATGCTGGAGACCTTGAGGTCAGGTCTGGAATGGTCTGGAAGTACACAAGCAGAAGGTCTAGAGATCTACGCGTTTGGGTTCCAGAGGTCTAGAGATCCAGACAGGTCTAACGGTCTAAGGGTCCTAGCCAGACAGATCTTGGAGGTAGAAGATCTAGCAGTCTAGAGTTCTTGCCGTCCAATTGTTGCGGTCCAGGGGTTTGCAGCCTAGTAAGATCTAAGGCCAAGAAATCCAGAGAGAGGTCTCGAGCCGAGACCAGGACCAAAAGCTCTAGGTCTAAAGGCTTCGACACCTGCAGGCCTCGACGCAGAAATCTGGACAGGTCTAGAGGTCTAGAGATCCGGAGATTTGAGTGAGAGGTCTCT